AGTGAAATGCGTTTTGTTAAATGCCCTTCTAATTTTGCTTGCAAGAGGGAAGAAATAAAAAGAGTTAGAGACTCTCGAGATAGACTCTCTCCGATGCTAAAGTCAGTCCGGGATGAGCTGGAAATTCTTGAGAATCTCAAATTGAAACCCTTCATCTTGTACATAATGGGGGTATTTACTATTCGTGGAAGAGCTGGTGTCCAATCATTCCGTTGTGAGGACCATAAAGTGGGCTACGAGTCTTATAAATGGCCCAAGCACTTCCTTTAACATATGTTGGGCTTGTGGTTAATACACTTTATAGTTTATACCCAATATCATGGGCTTGTATTGCCCATTGCCCATATTTAATAGCTCATGTAAGCCCAATTCTGGGCCTACTACACATTTCATCCTAAACTAAGGCCCAAGGACATTTTATATATTATATATATAGGAAGGGTGTCAAAGCTATATTTGTTAAGCCTATTAATTTATCATTAATTTTATTTATTTTAATTATTAAAAATAATTAATAATTAAAAAATAATTCATAGTTATTATTTAAAAAATTAAAATTAATTTGTAAATAATTATTTTTAAATATTATCATTAATTATTTAAAAATTATAAATAAATAATTATTATATATTATTAAATATATATATATAATATTACAAAAAAAAATTAAATAAAAAAACTAATAATGTAATGACATATTATAAACTTATAACATCACTTAAGATTATAATCATAACATTTTCATTTCCTCGCAAACATGACGCAACAAGTTTATAAGGCAATTCCAAACATACCGGGAAAAGAATTTGGGAAATATATTGAGTAGAATCGTACCAATTTTCAGGGAAAAAAAATGAAGAGGAGAAAAAATGCCCAAAATACTTGAAATCCTTTTGCACAGAGCCTCAGACAGTAGCATTTAACTGCACAATCCACCTTGATATATCCATGGCACATGGCCTTCAGTCATGGTTGTCACCCAAACTCGAGCCACAACAATCAAGAATATGTAGATCAATCTCCACCTAGAATGAAATTTCACAGGGGGCGTGAAATGTTCTTCCCCGGCAAATGGGTTCGAGGTTTTCCCCAGCATAAGAACATAGTGGTGATACCTCAACACCTGGATTCATGAACAAGGATGGTAAGGGACAAATTAATAACATCAGAGTTTTTTTTTTTTTTTTCAAAAACATAAAAGAGTATGATTGCTGCAAATCAACGCTAAAAAGAAGATTTACCAAACACAAGCAACGGTAAACAGTGCCTATAACAATGAACTCACCGGTTGCGTATAATGGCACTGAATGCGTTAAGAAGCCACCTGCAGCGACTACCCATCGACTGTGCAGTCGGAGCACAAGCAACCTAGCACTGTCTGGAGTGTCAAAATTTGATCCATTGGCATTTTTCACGGGTGCAAACTCTTCATCTCTGAGTACCTGAATAAGCAAACAACTTTTCAATTCATAGTTATCACTTATCACCTATCCTTTGCAACACAGAAATCAAAAGAGGCATTACTCCCACTCAGAGTGGGAGAAATGAGATGAGAAGAAAGATTACCTCAAAAAGAGCAGTTGAAGGAGCATATGGAAATGCATCGAAAATGAACTGCTCTAGTTTCAAGCCCATTGAATATCCATGAGCTGAAGGAATTTTTTTCTCCGCCAGATGGTAACTGCACATACAGCATGTATAAATGTTTACATTCTGTTGATGGTTTCAGAAGTGTGCGTGAACTATAGGTAAGAAAGCAATTACAAAGTTGCTTTGCATTGTCTAAATTGAGAGAAAATGCATATCTTTAAATATAAGATTGCATAGTTGGCCAAGTAGTTTCCTCCCATGAATTCTACCGAAGAGTATTCTACAAGCTCAGTGTAAATCTGTCCTAGCATATATAAACTAGTATTGAAGTTTTAAAAGAAGGAACTCCTAGGAGACATGACCTATATAGCAAAACTGATTGAAAAAAATATGCTCCACAATAGGGGGAAAAAATTCTAAGAAACTAAACATGAGTTAAGATTATTCTAGAGGAACAAGTTCATATCACTAACATGCTGTCTCTCTCAAGGCCGTTTGTCACTTGGTTTAGGAAATCCAAAGTAAACATATGTAAGCACACCTGAAAAAAAAAATGGAATGTGGCACAGATCAGATAGATGAAATGTTAGTATGGTAAAACTTCATCACTGCATTACTTTCGGAGATTATAAATGCTACACTGCATACATACTAAAATGATTGAGGACAGAGTTTTGAAGTCACCAGCCTTTTCATCTTTATGTGACTACTTCTAGATCAGATGAAAAAAATAGTATGTAAAAGAAATTCCTGGCAGGGTGAGAAACAAATTTGAAAGTGAATCGATGTATTGAATTTTTTTGACAGTCCAATGCATTGGAACTTGAAGTTTTAAATGAGATCAATCCTTTTGAATAGAGCTCAGAAGCATTTGACATATAAGTGGGAGAGACAGGCAAGAGAATTTGAGTATGAGGGCAAAAAAGTTCCTGTTTCTAGAAATTTATGTCATATAAGTTGTCCAACAATCAACAAGAGCTTAGCCACGTTGGTCCACTAACTTGAAAACCCTATATCTGAGGTTAAGGTCAAGGATTGAAACCTCTATAATTGCCAAGCACTAACTTCTTCACTCATTGAGCGTGTGTGTGAATGCAGAATAGCACTGTTTCCATAACTTAATTTCCATAACTTAATTTCCATTCTAGGCATTATCTTTTGGATTTTTCAACAAGGTACATATTTCTCCAGTTCCAGCTTCAGTATTGTGTTTGAAACCTATCATTCTCAACAGTCTAATGAACACCTATAAGAATTTCATAAGATTAAATTTGCAAGCAGGCCAAAAAGATACAAAGTGAATTTAAATTCAGAAGCACAAGATTAAAATACGAGCAATAAGGTACATGAGGAAAGACTGTACATTACTCCAGCAAAATCGAAGACGTCCAGTTTGTTGATTAATGGCTGAAGCCAGTGAAGGATCCAATTCACTGTATTCAACCACAGTAAGTGGTCCACCTTTACCTCGTCTTACAAAAACACCAACCTTTTCCTGGGGGTATGCCTGTAACCAAGTTACTAAAAGGATTTAAGACGAGATTTTTCCTTTAATTGGATAACATAATACTTTAACCTTCTTTGTGTAGAATTTAACATCAGAAAGAAATTCGTAAACAGAAAGCAGAGGAAAAATGAAAAAACCCTACAAAGGGCACAAAACAGAAACTTAGATCTGATACAAAATAAAAAGAGAGCATTTTAAATGTTGCAATCTTGCAATCAAACACAATATATTTCTATGACATTGATCATATAATCAAAAGTGAAAATAAGCCAATGAATTTCAATCTCTCAGATAAGCATTACTGTATATACGATATTAAATACCTTTCGAACAACTTTTGCAGCAGCAGCCACACCTTTATCAATGAAATATCCAAGGAACGTTGGATCAGCTACACGAACCTGCTTTCAAGATCCCTCATCACTGGCTATTTAAAGAACTTTCAAAGATGTCTTCAACTCAAAATGAAAAGAAAAGAAAACAAGCAAACTCACCAATGCATTGTCAACGCCATAGCAATCAACATATTTAATTCCTCTTGTTGCCATATCTTCTAACAGTCTTGAACCTTTAAGAGCTGATCAAAAAATTGAGGTTCAAATTAAAGCAAGACAATGAGGGGAAACCAGGACACTTAGTTCAGCAGAACAGATCAACATGTCATGGTCTTTTTCTTCAATTTTCAAAGAGTGGGTAGGGTGGGGGTTTAAAGATACCTGAATACACTCCTCCATTCCCATCTGGAGCCTTAGCTATCTGAGCTTAAAAAAGTACACAGAAATAACTATATTGCAGGATAGATTGAGGAGGCAAAGAATTTAAATAAGAATTAGGTGAAAAGCGAAAATAAGCCATACTCTGAATGGAGTCTCCATTACAAATCTACCATCCTTTGAGATACAAGGTATGGTGCCCTGCTGGAAGAAAGTAACCTGCACCAATGTACTCTTCAAGAATAAGCAAAAGAGCAACAGAAGATAAATTACAGCAAAACCAGAAAACTAGAGACCATCTCACCTGATCTGCTTCAAGACCAAAATATCTATGACTCTCAAAGAACTTGCGCGTGGCGTCATCAGTGAAAGGACTAGTCATTATATACCAGTGTATCTGCACCGACCCAGCACCTGCAGATAAGAATATGTCAGGATAGCCCAAGAGAGAATTGGAACCTAAAGAATCTGTGGAGTAAGGTTTACCCTCATTCTTAGCTTGAGCAGCTAGTCTTTGAACACACAAAATTCGCTCAGCTTGAAGTTGAAAAAGTGATTTCCCAGACGGAAGTCCAATATCTGTGAGGAAAACACAAAAGATATAAACAACGAAAACATTTCATGTAACAGTGAACAGATGTTAAAAGAACATCAATAGAGGTTATTCAACATTTAAGAAAATGAATCACTTCTACCAATTCTTCCTAAAAGTATGACTGTTAACAATTTAATGGATGGACCATGCATTTACTGAAAAAAATGGAGGAAAGTTCTCTTTGTTTCATGAATTCATTTCAAAATGAAAAAAGAAAGAAAGAAAAAGAAATTATAGGATC